ATTTCTAATTTACCTTGCAACATTTGCCAATCTGTTTGTTCATAGAATAGTTGTATGTTGATGACCATCTACTCCATTCTTATTTTTGTTTTTACATCACCCCCTCTTTCTCTCTCTCCCTATCTCTTTCTCTCTTCCCCCTCTCTCTGTCAATCCATCTATCTCTCTCTCTCTCTCTCCATTCCCCTCTCTTGCACTTTCAGTTCTCTCTCTCTCTCACTATTTCCCTTCCACCTACCTTTTCACAATATGGAGCTTGCACTTTTCCTTTTCGCGGTCTTAACTTACATCACAATATACCTATACACCCAAAACGTACTACTCATTTAATGGTAGACTCACATGTGCTCCTTGATATTACACTCATGAATAATTTACAATTCCAAATCTTTAATTGTATTATTATAATTCTATAAAGTGTCTATTTCAATATTGTAAAAAATTTTGTAAAGATGTTGTACAATTATTAAGCACCGGGCTGCAATGCATATTTTTGAATAAATCAACCATTTTTATCACAATTCTACGATTTGTGATAACCTGTATATATATATATATATATATATATATATATATATAAAGCATCTTAACTGTAATTTTTTTTTCCTAACTAAGCTGGTCATTAGACAAAAACAAATAAATAATAATTGAATCTGTGTCATTCTGTTCAAGGAGTTACCAGCTGCTCATTGTTCTGCTTAACAAAAATAAATCTACATCGGGCAGTTGTAGCTTACCTAAAACGATATAAAAGATATGTGTGGCGAGCTATAAAAGGGATTTTTGACTGAGACTGGTGTTCACGAAGTGAAAATAACACCCACATAATATTCCGATTCATAATAAAAATATACGATATATAGTTAATATATTTGGTAAATTATTATATCTATCCGGACCGAATAGATATCGCGCACGTGTCGCGGAGTCCTATGTACATCATTCTGTGTACAGTGCTTGTAACTGTACCAAGACTGGGCCAAATTTCTTATCATTTTGATGATTCCAGAACCTTGCAGTACACACCAATACTTATATGCTAGATGATCAACCCTTTCTGATCGATTCCACAACGTTTCTTTCACAATGCAATCGCATGACCCAAACTGGTCTATACCTTTAACCTAAACGAGTCATATTTGGTTGCAAAGATAAAATTACATAGAGAAATGAGTTTCTCAAACTAAAAATGTGAAGAAGGCGGTATGCCAATTGTGACATGATAGTACAGCTCTGTCGCCCGCCCCGTTGATTTAATACAGAAAACGAGCTGAAAATAACAATAAATTGACTACTTTAACAAATAAAACGCGATAACACAAATTATAATGAAAATGTAATTTGTTTAATTTACTAGAAAGAACAAAGTCTATGTCGTATTTTACTAATCAAGCTAGGCAAAATATGTGCTACTTTTAGCAGAATATAGATGGATGTAAAAGAGACGTGTTTTTCACGTGATTCTTCTTAGAACATTTTAGGGTAATAAAACAAGCATTGTTTAGTGACCTAAACGTTTAGATATGCATACATGTAGCTTTATTACTATGATATACCAATATTTCTCTGAAGAAAAAGAAGAAGAGGGGAAGAAAACAAAAAAAGGGGTGACAAAATACTGACAAAAATTGTGGAATTCCTTATGTGCTACGATTTGCATTGTACACAAATTATTTATTTAAAAAATATATCAGCAAATGTAAATGTGAGGTGAAGGACAACTTTTCTTTTGACGGATGATTATAACGAATAATGATAAGAGTAATTATAATCAACGATTGAAAACATTTAATATTTTACCATAGGAAGACTATTTTACTAAGCTTAAAAAATATTAACTGTACAAGATTTTTTTTTTAAATAACATAGGCACATGGACATGTCGGGGACACAATACCATCACTATGAACAACGGCCAAACTTTTCTACAAAAGAGATGTACATGTAAATATTTGAATTTTCTCCACAAATCTCCAAATTACTATGAGAACACATGGCATATAGAAAGACAAAATGTATCTCATATCTTCGCGTATCTTTTATGTAAAAAGTATTGTCATTCCATATCTACACCAAACAGTACAACCCATTCATAATATAAATATTCATTCACAATCAAAATATATAAACTATATGTACATGTAAAATGATGTCCCGCAAACCAGCTAATATGATTTAAAATACCACTACACATTTCAATGCCTATATGACTTGTTTTTCCTTTCATGCTTTATAAGGCCTTTCTCATTATCAATGCAATTCTCATTTGATTAAAAAGTGACCTATGCCTAAGGATATTGTAGGAACTTATGCAACAGTAACACTACGTTTCTAGTAGGGTCAGTTGACTTTTTATCACGGCAGATCAATATCACAATCGATTATCATTTTGTCAGTAACTGAATCACTCTCATATATTTTTTGTATGTATATAAAATGATAAATAAATGAAACAGAGTATATATGCAAGATATAAACATGTAACATCAGCACAACTTTAATACAAGACTTTTATTAAATTTTAATAAAAGAACGAAGAAGGATTCTTAGTTACGTAATTACGTGTTTCGTTACACTTTAAAACTAAATTCATCTCAATTAGGAGGAATTTCTTTTTAAGGGCACATGAAGTGTATCATCAGTAGCGTACTTGCCCCTAACCGAATGGAGGAGGAGGAGGGTCAGGCAGCGAGAAAATGAAAAATTATGACCTCTTTTCACACTTGATGACCCTTTACTTTCATTATTCATCTTAGTACTTAGTATAGGTAAATATTACATGAATAACTTACTCATGTCATAGAAAACAGAGAAATCATGAAAGTACTCTGGTGAAATCGGACCCCCAAAAAGAAGAAGAAAAATAGAAGAAAAATATCAAAAGTTATGGATTTTTGAAAGTTTTAATCAATATACTTATGAGAAATGAGAATTTCAAATTTGTTGAATAGATAATGTCAGTGTGATGTAGTTCAGAACAACTTTCTCAGTATTTCCAACACATAACCCTACTAACATTGAATTAAAACATAGAATGAATCGACAGGGTCTTTCCTTCCTTGAGGACCTTCAATAATATACTTTCACTAATATATTTGAGAAGTGGCCCAGGGGAGACGGCGCTTCGGGGAAAACAGAATTAATGATATTTTTGTACGAGAAAAACGAGGAGTTGTTTATGAAAACAGCACGATCTACTGACAAAATTGCCATTGCGAGATGCACATAATAGTTCAAACATTAAAAACTCTTTTATTGTTTGTCCGTTTTAGTTTACCATTCCGTTTCTTCTTTTTTTTTTGCTTTCATAACAAAAGCTTACTACAAAGGCTACAAAACTTAGAAAGAGACTAGGTCTGGTCTATTCCATTGTATGGAGCAGCAACGTGGACATTAACAAAGAATATGGAAAATCGAGTGTACTGGAGAAATAGTGCATATGGAGGGCTCAAACAAAATATCGTAATAGGAATGGTTGACTATAAATCATGCATAATGAAACAAAATGAAAATCAAATATTCCATCAAAATCTAAATATATTACAAACATTAAATCAAAATCTAAATATATTACGAATATTACATCAAAATCTGAATATATTACATATATTACGTTAAAATTTAAATATATTACAAATATTAAAAACATTAAAAACCTTGTGTGTCATCAAAAAAGAGAGGGAGAGAGAGAAAGAGAAGGACGGAACTAGAAAGAGGAATAGAAGGAAGAAGAAAAAAGAAAGAAAAGTTGATAAGGGAATATAGGAAAGATTGGAGGAGAGGGGTAGAGAAGAACAGAGTAGAACAAGAAAAATAAAAAGAGAGAAGAATCGCACAGTCTTGAGGAATGTTTTTATCAAAACCGGAAAAAAGAAGAAAAGCGAGCCTCTGCTATAAAAGTGCACCTCAAGTTGAAATATGAATTAAAAAGTAAAAATAAACGGTTTCAAAATTTATATATCAACGTCATTTTAAAAATTCGTTAAATTCAAAAGAGTAAAGTTATGCCAATTCCACAACACATCCAAGTTCAATGCAAATAATTTTGTAACTCAAAAGGAGTATATGTAGAACCCTATGTGTGAACCTTTTTCATTTTCGGAATTAGGAACCATGGGAAAGAAGACATGTATCTAGTGGGTCTTCCCAATCGACACCACGGAATTTTATTGTACATGTACACTGTTGGTAATACTAGATAATAGTATACATTCTCGGATTTTAATGACTAATAGTTTGTGAGTGTTTGTTTTGCGTTACTGCTAAAGCATATGTATGCTACTACTATGCTAATCAACTAGGGGATCTACGTCCTTAAGTCATAACTGACAGTAATGAGGATTAATGCCTCATAAAAGGGCTTTCATATAGCACATCGACACGGTTTTGATCTTGGGGGCTCACAGTAACGAGGCCACTGAATCATGACTGTATGAGCGGGGGCTAAAGTACGTCGCCGCCCCCACAAATAAATAAAAAACAAAGAAAATGCAATAAGTTAACAATAATTCATTGCATTTTGCACCGACCCCCCGAATACAAAAAATATCCTCTATGTGGGCATGTCTTGAACCATAATAAATGGCCCTACAGAGGAATTTTTTCTGTTGGGAACCGGGGGAAAATGCAATAAATTATTGATAATTTATTGTATGTTCTTCACGGGGGTATTTGTGGGGGCGGCGACGTACCCTAGCCCCGCTGCGTACAGTCATGATTGAGTGGCTAAGCAATGGCCTCGTTACTGTGAGGCCCCAGAATAAAAACCGTGTCGATCAGTTATATTAGTGTCCTTTTGTGAGGCATTAATCCCCATTACTGTCAGTTGTGGCTTAAGGACGTAGGTCCCCTAGTTGATTAGCATAGTAGTACACACATGATTTAGCAGTCACGCAAAACAAACACTCACAAATTATTATTCAATAAAATCTGAGAATGTAGAGGTATACTATTATTTAGATCTTTTAAGAATAAATCATTGTCAAAATCATTTCATAAATTGGGGTAAAAATAATTCCACCTTTATGACCAACAGTATATATTCCATAGAGTGAGCGGGGTCTACAGATAAATTTGTCCTCTGTAGTAATAAGTATCTCGAAGCGGTATTCTATTCATTCGGTGATTACCACTCTGCAGAGGTTCGTGGCTCTGTAACATAAACAAAAATTGACTACAAGTTAAACAAGTTATTCATGTTCATCAATTTGTTTTCTTTTTTAGTCGATATATATATCTGAAACATTTTTTCTTTAGCTAGCAGTTAACCCAAATGATTGGCTACATCTAAAGAAACCTATATTATTAGCAAGAACAACAGCAACAATTCAATTTAATTAATTCATTTTCCATTTTTAAACAATGTGAATACTTGGGCAAACACAGCAATGTGTCGTCAGTCACATGTCTCCGTTGTATTACGCGCGTGCGATGTTGTTGGGTACAGGAACCGGAAATCGCTCCTTTGTACTCCTTCGCCGATAGATGGCGCAATTGGAAATACATTACAGCATGTCGGTAAAATATCCCGCTTTTAGCTTTTTAATCTGTGTGCACACTGATGAACAACCCACATACACTTATCACAGTATTTTAGAGTTCTGTGACACTTACAGGCGCACGTCCAGTGAAGGAGGGTCCGGTCTTGAAATTTTGGCTGGCCCTCCTCTGCTCTCGACTCTTGTACTGAGTAAATAAAGCCATGTCCCTGTCCATATTATCATTACGATGGGAACGGTCCCGACTTCTGTCTTTGTGATGTGCAATTGGGTTTTCTGGTAAACAACAACGACAACAACAACTCCCGATTATATATGCAGAGAAATCTCAGTTACAAAGAAACCAATTATGCCCTCAGATATGAATAGTCTAACACTAAGCACTGTAAACGAAATTTATTAATGGTGGACTTCAAATGTATCAAATTACCAACCAACTTACTAGGACTGAACACATTCATTTTTTTTTCAATATTGTCTGAATCAATGGATAATAGATGTTGGTCTTGTTGGAATATAACAATTTGGTGCATACTGGGAAGGGTCAGGAGGGAAGTTGGGTGGGGGGCCTTACAATGTTAAGCAGAGGGATGAGAAGGGGAATAGGATAGTTTGTACCAGTGGCGGATCCAGGGGGGGGGGCCCGGGGGGCCCCCCCCCCCCCAAAAAAAATCATGTAAAATCACGTGATTTTTACCTTTTTTGGGGGTTGAGCGCCAGGGGGGGGGGGGGGGGGGGGTGCAAATTGAATTTTTTTTGAGGATCAAAAAAAAAAAATGTGCTCACTACCCCCCCCCCCCCCCCCCCCCCCCCCCCCCCCCCCCACTGAGCGAATTTGGCCGGCGTGTTTTTCAAATTTTCGGGAGCAAAAAAAAAAAAAAAGTTGGGCCCCCTCCCCTAAGAAATCCTGGATCCGCGCCTGGTGTGTACACAACTATGGTTACATAATTGTAATATTATGTGTTGTATTCAAACACGTTTCATCATTTATTGATTTGTACATTCGCTTATCCTTATTTCATATAAACATATAAGGCCAAATAAAAAAAAAATGTTTAGCGTCCCGTTTTTACGAAAAATAGGAAGGAGGAGGCCCTTTTTTTTTTTTTTTCTTCTTCTTTCAAAATGGCCGCTCAAAATGGCCGCTCGGTACATTTTCCCTTACATTCGGGCTATTTTCCAAGAGGGCAGGCGACAATTTTTTTTTTTTTTTTTTAAATCAGAAAAACATCCATTTTAGCAGTGTTTTTCATGTTTTTTTTCTTTCAAATTTTTTTTTTTTTTTAAATCAACAAATTTCAAAAAAAAAAAAAAAAATAGGAGGCGGCCCCTAAAAAAGAAGCGGGTGGGGACACTAAACATGTATATTTTTTTAATGGCCTAATAATATAATAAATATTGACACAAGACAATAATTAAAAAAAAAAGAATCTGCTGACTAATACTATCACAATATTTTGGCCTGTAACAATAAACCATGATAGGCTAAAATACATTACAAACTGGACTTTCGGCTAATCATTTATATATATATTTCAGGCCAATACGTTAACTGTGAAGTGTACATATATATTTATATAATTATATGGAGAAAAAATATTGCAACCAACCAACCTCGTGAAGGCACCCGATGATCTCTGGAATTATAATCTCTGGTCCTAAACGTAGATGTTGGCCTAGAATGACCCCGGCTGCCTTGGTATTTCATCATCATTCTGTTTCTCAAAGCGTGCATGCAGAGGACCAAGATCAGAATGAAGAAGAAAAGTGCACCTGCTGTTGTTCCGACGATCACTGCAATAGAAGAATTTATCATATTTTTTTGTTTAGACAAGGAAAATCACTACCCAATTCTGACTAGCCAAACACCTTTTGTCATCTCTAGTAATATAGCAGGTACACATAATGGGGCATCGTCTACAACAAGCGGTCATGTTAATTTTTAGCCGTATTACCTCAATCTATTCAAGTCTTTAATAGTGGCTTTCATGTAACCTGAATACCTACAACGGTTTTTATGATATATGAGCAAAACGCCGAAGTAATCTAACTAGAAATGGTATGACCAATTCCTACGCATTAGAGGGCATATATTTTGTTGGATAAATTTCAAAAATATAATAAAAATGAATGCATGGCATACATGCACTTGTACCATGGCCCAAATAACTAATCATAGACCTGTTAAAACTACGATGTTAAATGTATGAATATATTTGTAAACAATACAAGAATGTGATGGTTTTTCATAAAACGCAGGATGGGAATAAATACTCAATCAAGATGAAAATAAAAAATGTATCTTATCAAGATAGGTCTTTGATCCTGAAATTATCATGAATTGATTATATCATAATGATATTAATAATAATAATGATGAATATATAAAATAGAGATAATAACAATAATAATTGAATTAATAGTAACGATAACAACAATTAATTGTTTCTGTTTACATATGGTGTTTGTGGATGTCTGACAGCGGTCCCCGGTCCAGCCCTCGGTACATCTAACGATTAAACAAAATCAGACGAATGTGTATAAACAAAAAGAAAAGCAAAGCAATATAAATAACATGGTGCATCATCTAATGAAATGTGTCGATGTCGATGACATACTACGTAATCCGATATATATTTAGACCACCGTTCACTTGATTTTTGACAAAGTGTGAACGCTAAAAGTGTCCTTCAGATAGTATCATTGTGCCTCATAATATTTACCCACAGTTTTCTGTTTTACCTGTAGTTTATTTAATGAGTTCTAGTATAAAATTATGACGATCATTTGAAGAAGAAAAAAGGTAGTCTTGTAGCGAACTGAAAAAGAAAGGTCTTGTGCGTAAACTTTAAAAAAAATAGTTCACAGTTTAATCATTCCAATATATTCCTATGTTTCACAATGTAGCACTCGTGGAAAGCCGGCTATTAAATGTACCAATATGCACTTGTGGCAAACAAAAGATAAAAGTTGAGAACCTACCTGCATCTTGCCCCTGATCCATCATTTGTTATTATACAGCTACCGCCGTTTTCACAGGTCAAGTCTTCACAGGGGACTGCACACAATAGGAAATATCGAGAACCAAAGTTATACGGATTCCATAATTATATGTAATTAAGACATAAAGGACACTCTTTTATGGAAAGTACTAAGCGTCTAATGAAGCCGAATATGCAATGGCTATTTAATTAATAGAAAAAGGAATATGGGAATGCTATAGAATGGACACTTTTTGCATTGAATGTTTTTGTTTGCATAATTATGGATAACTTAGGGATGAAATGAACCTAGGACTAAACTGAGATATTAAACATAGTGAGTGAATTGAGTGTCAGTTTATGCTTGTTACACACTTGTAGTCTTTTAGTTGACGTGGGATTACGACTTGCGCTGGTTTTACGATGCAATACTATGTATTCACAATCCCTAGCGCCATCTAGCGACAACCGTGTTTATTTGATTTCATGTGATGCATTATGGTAAAAAGTAGACAAAAAATAAGCTGTGGCATTGTTTTATACAATAAGATATTTGGGAATTTATGAGAATTTTTGGTCAGGGGTCATTTATTATCAACAAAGAAGGTTTGATGGGCCTATTCTATGTAAAAGTGTGCCCTGATGCTAGAAAGAAGTGGTCAACTTGACCCCCATCAACAACAATATTAATGGTAATTTCGGTCACTTTTTTTGCCCAACAATTATTATTTGTATTGTCAGAATCAATATTGATGGGTGGGTTTCGACATTCAAATTTAATATAAAAATGTGCCCTGATATCAAAATAATCAATCTCAATAAATGAGTTTACACACTTCGGATCACTTTGTCATTTCGATCGGTGGCTAGTCTTTTGGTACATGTAGTTTAAAAATGTCGATGAGCGAGCTGAAAAATTGACCTGTCGCGGCTTGACGTTGGGGGCGTTGTCAATTGTGAATCAACCCTATTAAATTATTGGCGCATGAATTCACTGTCTCCTTACAATTAAATTTACTAACGCCTGGATGATAACGCAATCTGAATGTTAAACCGTGTGCAATAGGTCGCATATCGTTCAAAAAAAAACTCACATGAAATGTTGAACGCGGTGAGTGATGTAAGGAACAGTCCGGAACCGCTAGTGATCTCAGCATCAGATGTCAATGCGCTTCTGAAAATTTCATTAGCTTCCACTTCAGTTATGCTCGATGTTGGATTGAAAATGAGAATGAAATTGGCAATGATACTTCCACTCCTGAAGGATACGACTCGTGAACCGATAAAACCCGATGTGTTTTGATATATCTTATCGAGCTGAGGAAAACAAGATGATGGGGTTGAGGAGAATAATGAGAGACGAAGACAATAAAAATAAATAATTTCATTGAGTGGATTTGCCCAATCGAAATTAGTTGCGGACGTGTCATATACCAAAATGTGTTCACTTAAGAATCTTCTGGTAAGACCGATGTATTTGGTGGTCGCGCTTGAAGAAAGTAACATTCTTACCGTATAGTTTACACAGTGTCATAATCAACCATAACAAATGGGAAATTCATACTATATACATGAATTTCTATAAAACTCTGAACTTGGTTTGTATCAAAGGGGAAACACAGTGCTAAAAGAAAATAGCCCCGGACAAACAAACCAACAAACTTTTGATCTTCAGGATTATGAAAAATACAAAACGCACACAAACACACGCACACGTACACACTCTCACTCACACACACATGCACACACACACACACACACACATATATTATAAGACATATACTAGTCTCAAACATATTGTTTGCCATTAAAGTAAGTGAATCAAGATAAGTAACATTCCCCCCCCCCCCCCCAAGGTGCAAACAACAAGAAAAGAAGAAACGAACCTTCACAGAATTCTTGCGAAAGAACTATCTTAAAGTTTATTTTATTTCGCTCTCTTACCTGTGCTTGGAGCTCCAATGCAACGTTTTTAAATGTCTTAGTTGTGTCATCCAATAGGTCTTGTATAAACGTTGCTATGGTACCATTAATTCTTGCCAGAATCACATTTCCAGGCAGTGCATAATTTACTATTCCAAGAGAAGAAAACAAATCAAAAGAAAAAGATACTAAATGATCTAAATGACAAGTCACATTACAACAGCTCTTGACGTTTATGAAACACTTATGAAGATTTAATGAAAATTACTAAAAGATATTTTGAAAACTTCCTTTTTAAATGAAAAAAATTAGTTATCCTGAATAGATGATGAAATAAATCTTACATCTAAAACCACGCTTATAAAGCGGTGCACTAATCTCGTACGCTTCTTTGTAAGCATACTAGTCCCTAGTCTCATTTTAGGCCTACATTAATTGATTGGTTATCTCATTCCGTGACGATATCATTACAAGTATCTTAGCTGAATGAGATCTTGTTCGGTAAAGAATTCGAATTTTCCGGTGCTATTTTAAAATTTTGAAATTTGTTATATTTAAACAATATATACTCGGGCCATGTTGGATTTAAATCGATTCAGGTAGAAATAAAAATTTCAAGCGAATAATTAAAATTAGTTTCTTTAAAATAGGCCCACCTCTTTGTTTAAACTTGATTTCTACGTCTTAAAGGTACTATGTCCTATTTGCAGGCCCACACAAAATGAAAAGGTTAAATTCCAATGGCATTTGAAAGATAATATTAATTAGAACTTCCCTAAACAAGGTTGGGCTTGAAAATGTCTTTAAGAGGGAAAATAATGACTATTAGTTGTCGAATGGTCTGAGCTATAGAGCCAGTAAAGTATTAATCTGATTTTCACACCATTGTACCGAATGGTCGTACGTTTTATGCTGCGCAAATATTCAATCAGTTTAATTTTGGCCATTACAAGAAGTGGGTTATTGATGTAGACAAATGCTCATGTACCCTTTACAGCTCATTTCATGTATGTTATTACCAAAGAAGGAAAAAAGCCAATCAGTCACTAAATAGTGTATGACAGTGAAGTCTAGCAAGTAAACGGTTTCCTTGCATAATATGAATATTAGAACACTGCTAACGTTTAAACTTCACAGATAGGACATACATTACATATTCATAATTCCTGCAAAGTTCTACATAATTTAATGCTGGCTGCAAAAGGGACATAGTATCTTTAAGGTGGGCAGAATTTTCAAAAAAATTGTTTGTTTTTGTTTGTATTTAGTTTATTTAATGCAGACCATAACTTATTCTGTTCACGTCATACATAACGTTTTAATGAAGCTTGTAAGTTCTTTTCACTAGCCAGAGATATAGAGTATTTAAGATGCATTTTCTTTAAATTTTGATATGATCATGGGCCCTACTACAGATGGACTAAAAATTAAAGTCTTTCTTTGACCACATCATGACCACCGCCACCTGATAATAGGGACTTTTAGATTTGCACGACGAGAACGTGGACTGCTATGTGTGACATCCTTTTAAGGCAATGTGACATCCTTTTAAGGCACTGCCAGTTCCTTAAAAGGACGACACATTGCCTTAAAAGGATGTCACACGTGGCAGTCCACGTTCTCGTCGTGCAAATCTAAAAGTCCCTAATGTGTATGTTGATGAGGATATTCATTTGACGCGACAATGTTGATTATGTAATCACGCACCATCACAGACAACAGAACCTTTCACATTTCTTCAGATTCTTTTCGCTGGGCCAGGGCACAGAGTGTAGTTTCAGGAAAAATATCGTGATTCAAGACCAGTTAGAGGAGCAGTGAACCCCAAAGTATGACAATTTGTGTGGTATTAGATTGATTATTAAAGAAGTGGACACTGGTGGGCATACATCTGGGCTTGCCAAACTTTCGAAGAACACATATTCTTTACTGTCCTATTACCTTCTATTTCCTGGAAATGGATAGGGTAAGTTTTAAAATGAAGTTTAAAATCATTGTGTTGCGGCCAAATTTACAGGTTTCTCTTGTAAATTACTTCTAATTTCCTATTGAAAACTTCATATACGTCAATATTGATATGTACGACACAACTGCACATGCATTTCCGTGATATTTTAGCGATTCAGTTTCTTTTGCACAGGCATTTTGTAGAGTTCCAGTCACGGTTCTGTTTTTGTTAAGGCTGACTGGCGGTGGTCGTGATGAGACCAAAGTTTGGAAGCATGTTTGGAATGTCATTATGATAATTTCGACAGAGTCACGTGCATGCATGTATTATGGTACCGATCAGTGTCCATTTGTAGTAGGTCCAATATGATAAGATATATGTAGGTAAATACATTTGATTTCTGTGCACTAAACTTCCAGGAGTGTAGGGAACATCTATTGAAAGACAGAAATTAAAAACACCCAACATTTGATCACCTTTTTACTTGATGGAGCTGTCTATTAAAAACCATTCATATGTAATTGATTCACCTGTTAGATTGCTTGTGACATTTAGAACAAACTCGATGGTTTTTGACAAGACTCCATCTGTTGCGTTAATCCTGATGTTGTTAACACCAGGCGACAGACTTGCTGGCTGAAATTCTTCCATTCCATTAACAACAATGGGGTCATATGTGATGTCACCATAGAACGAGAAATTGTAGGAGGTCAGGCCCTCGTTGAGGCCGCCAGCGAAATATAGAAAGAATGTGTTTCCGTCAGAAACAGCGAATGCCTGCACAATCTTGACCGGCAACTCTCTCACTTTAGAGGAAAAAAAATGAGGAGAGATATTAAAAATAAAATTAGGCTCAGAATCACATGAAATATATCACAGATAAATAAATAAATGGATGAAAAATACAAATGAAATTAATATAATGGTATCAAATAAGGGTTTGAATCTAATTTATTTTGGCGGGAAAGAATGTTTCTAAAAAGAGATGGATTAACTGGCGTTTGTCTTAGCTAGCATTCTGACCAGTAATGTCACATCTTACCTTCTCTGCAATGTACGTTTATATATCCCACATTTGTATTTCGTTACAGATATAAGATATATATATATATACGTCGTTTTTTGTATTATAATTCTCCAATACATTTTGAATAAGACAGGTAGTATGTGTAGGTTGTTATACTCCAGGTGACATGTTTATTCTCAACGTATAAAACGCATTCACAGCGATTAGTTTTCCTCATATATATTAATTTTTCATGATGTATCAGCTCATTAATACAATGAATATTTGCATTACTGATGACAACACGAGGGCACTAACAATGCCCAGTGCACCTCTTACCATGTTTGTTTATGCCTTATGTCTCAGTCACATTTGCCGCCGTGGCCGTGCGGTATAGACTTTCTACGACCCATAGCTATTATAAGGCAGACTCAGCATTCCCACCGGCACATACGGTAGCGGTCCCATATATAAGGATAGCCGCACGGCGTATTTTGGATTTGTGGAGACAGAAAACCTGCGGCTGCCGTACGACCTTTGAAGTGATGACGCATGGTCGCCTTAAAGCTACCCTAGGGCGGCCGTGGAATTCCTGCGGCCGCCGCAATTTTGTAGGTTCTACAAAAGTCAATTTTAATTCATAAGGCCCTAGGGCAGCCGCACTGCAAACACACAAGGCGTCCGTACGGCCGACGTATGGTCGCCGTGGAACCGCTCTGAATGCCTAGATTGCATTTGGCCTGCGATTAGTCTACGGAGCCCGTATCCTGCCCGTATCCCCTTTTCCGTGTGGCCTCCATACGGCGGCAGAAGGCTTTTGTTTCGCGGAACTTGAAATATCGTAAGCCCGTAGCCCGTAGACATGTAATATGTTGCATCGCACGATCCACGCACGGGAATCGCGCGGAAGCCTCGCGATGATCGTAAAGCAAACGCACGATTTCTCGGTGAACATGAAGAAAACAAGTTAAAAAACACCACATCTTCTCGCTCTACCTCTGCACGGAAGCTAGACGGGCTCCTTACGATTTCCGTGCCGAGGCTGCGGAGACTGCACGGGCGCGCTAGCGCATATATATTTTTTTATACAACTGTTTAGCCAGTTCAGTCAAATATACTGGGCGAACGACTAGAGAGTCTTTTGGATTGTTAGAGCTGTACAAACTCGCGCGTGTAGCTAGCAGATTGGCTACATTTATTAAGGTGTTTGAAGCCCTACACAATTCCTTTTTCCCTTATGTATTTCTGTGTTTTTCCTTCATTCTATCCTCTTCTCTTTCGTCATGTATTTCTTTGTTTTCTAGCTTCAATCTATTCTGTAATTTGTCGTTATGTAGCGGTTATTGTATGCCCTATTTCTTTGTTCTTCCTTTAATCTATATCCTCTTCTCTTCCGTTATGTATTTCTTAGTTTTTCCTTTGATCTATCCTCTTCTCTTTCCTTAATATTTCCTTGTTTTTCTTCTCCATATCCTCTCCACTCTCCTCATGTATTTCTTCGTTTTTCCTTTTTTGTATCATCTAGTCTTCCCTTGGACATGTACGTGCTTGCACATTATATTGTGCACACTACCGTGTGAGTAAAAAAAAAGTTTACACCGAGAAAATTGCTAATTATTTTAAAAATCATAAATGAACAGTAAATTATTATACAACTTTTGAAAGAGTGTTTTTTTTGTGTGTGGTATGTGTTCACGTTCGGATGAACAAGAGGCATTTTCGCGAACAAATTCCTAGAGGTGCTCTGGTAAAAGAGTCTAAGTCGTCAGCGCACATTTACAATCACTAGCAGCAATATGTCAAGCACGTACACACAGGGAAGGGAAGATGATAGAAACGGGGATAGAAAAGGGAAACAAAGAAATACATCAGGAGAGTGAAGAAGATATGGAGAAGGAAAACATATGAAATATATGACGAAAAAGATATGGACGGACTCAGGGATTAAAACAAAGACCAAAATAATGAAAGAGAAAAGGATAGATTGCAGGAGAAATAAAGGGAAAAACAAAGAAATACATGACGAAAGAGGTGAGGATAGATTGAAGGACTCTAGCTAACGATCAAAGAAATACATAACGAAAAACAAAGAAATACATGACGAAAGAGAAGAGGATAGACTCAATGATTAAAACAAAGAAATACATAATGAAAGAGAAGAGGATAGACCCAATGATTAAAACAAAGAAATACATAACGAAAGAGAAGAGGATAGCCTCAACGATTAAAACAATTAAATACATAACGGAAGATAAGAGGATAGACTAAATGATTAAAACAATTAAATACATAACGAAAGAGAAGAGGATAGCCTCAACGATTAAAACAAAGAAATATATAACGGAAGATAAGAGGATAGACTAAATGATTAAAACAATTAAATACATAACGGAAGATAAGAGGATAGACTCAAGTCAACGATTAAAACAAATACAAAACGAAAGAGAAGAGGATAGACTCAATGATTACAACAAAGAATTACATAACGAAAGAGAAGAGGATAGACTCAATGATTAAAACAAAGAAATACATAACGAAAGAGAAGAGGGTAGACTCAATGATTAAAAGAAAGAAATACATGATGAAAGAGAAGAGGATAAACTCAAGGATAAAAACAAAGAAATACAAAGCAATCCAAAAATAATGATCGTGCAGCAAACGCACGATTTTTAGGTGAAGATGGAGGCAAAACACGCTCAAAAACGGCACGGCGTCTGCACGGTCATCGCGTCTTCTCCACGCAAACTTTGCACGGAAGCTGCACGGGCTCCGTACGATTTCCATGCGGAGGCGGCGAAGACTGCATGGTTACTGCATTGAAGTTGCACGATTTCTGTAAAATCTCCGAGCAGCCTCTGTACGGATTTGCCCCGGCCTGCCCCTGAGGGCCAATACACAAAAAATGGCACGATGCTCGTAGATAATGTAAACACAAACATCGTAGGCCGTAGCCTCCTACGATGCCTCCAAAATCGCACGAAAAATCGTAGACTAATTTATCGTACGGGATTAGTTCACATTTGTCCCGGGCGTCATACGATAAATTGGTCTACGATTTCCGTGCGATTTGGGGGGGGGGGGCATTGTATGAGGCTACGGGCTACGATGTTTGTGTTTACGTTAACTACGAGCATCGTGCCATTTCTTGTATTGGCCCTCGTGGGAAGGCCGAGGCCAATCCGTACAGAGGCTGCTCAGAGATTGTACGGAAATCGTGCAATTTCAGTAACAATTGGAATGTCCGAAGTACCAAGCTTCTACTAGGCATTTCCATCAACCAATTTTTGTACATGGGCAATGCAGAAAGCGTTATGTTAGGGTGTGTAATAATAAAAACTCACTTTGTATATCGATATAAAAGATGGTGCTATTGATGTTTCCAGCTGAATCGGTGACAGTTGCTGATATTTCATTGACACCTGGATCTAACCTTTGACCCGGTTGCTTTGGAGCAAAATCAACCCGAAGTGACGGCAGCTCATCGACGTTATCCAAAACAGTAGCGTCATAATTATGCACAACGTTACCAAACGGTACAGTAATGTTGGAACACGTTATAAACGGGGATTCAACATCTGTCAAAGTAAATCGATGAATATGATGCTGTTAATTTATATAAATGTTTCATGATATACCGAAAAGTATGATTGAATAATTCCAATTTTTTTTTTTGCCATATCTAGGATTAAAATCGATATGTATGTATGTGTGTGTACAAGTGTGGCCTAGTGAATAAACCATCGTACTGGAGATTCTAATATCTGGCATTAAAGCCTCGGTCACAAATGCCATTACGAACTGCTACGAACGCCGTACGATTTTCAGACAATGGAAATTCAGAAAGACAATGGAAAAACGGGAAGATTCGTACGAACGCATCGTTCGTACGAACCTTTGTGACCGTAGCTTACGTTCTTTGCCAACACATAGCCTTATATTGCTTGGAATATTTTTGTTTTACCCAATTTATGGAATTATTTTTAAAATAATTTAAAAATAATAGATCTAGATAATAGTATACATTCTCAGATTTTATTGAATAATAATTTGACAACGTGTGTTTTGTGTGACTGCTAAAGCATGTGTATGCTACTATGCTTATCAAATAGGGGACCTACGCCCTTAAGTAATAAATGACAGTAATGAGGATTAATGCCCCACAAAAGGGCACTAATATAGCACATCGAAACGGTTCTGATCCTGGAGCCTCACAGTTACGAGGCCATTGCTTTGTCACTGAACCATGACTGTACGCAGCGGGGGCTAGAGTAGGGGGCGGTTTCTATAAATAAAAAAAACGGTCCCCAACATAAACAAATCCTCTGGATGGCCATGCATTATGGCTCAAGGAATGGACACACAGAGGGTTTTTTATGTTGGGAACCGGGGTAAAATGCAATCAATTATTGAAAAATTATTGCATTTTTTATTTTTTTTATTTATTGTTTATTATTATGAATTTGAAGAGTCTGTATAGTGTGAGATCCAACTTAATTGGAAATGTCTACAGGAGCCCAAGTTCTTCTGACATAAACTCTAGAAATTTATGCTCCTTGATGACAGAGGCAAGCGACAGAAATGGTGATCTGATGATAGTGGGAGACCTGAATCTTAGAGACATTGATTGGGCTAGAAACGTCGCAAATTGCTCAGAAGACCACCCAGCTTGTTACATACTGGATAACATTAATGATCTATACTTGAGCCAGCGTGTTACACAGCCAACAAGATTTAGAGAAGGACAGAGGGAAAGTCTGCTAGACCTGGTGCTTACCAACAATGATGAGACCATTGACATCGTTAACGTCAACCCACCCATAGGAAAGAGTGACCATGGAGTACTTTGCTTCCATGTAAACCTAGGAGAAGTGGCTAAGAAGAACAGAGCTACATACAAATACTACAAAGGAGATTATGGTGCCATTAAAGAAGACATAAAGAAAGTCAATTGGGAAACAGAGCTAACAAACTTGAACATTGAGAAGTCATGGAAACTGTTTGAACGCACTGTTAAACAGAGTATAGACAAGCATATTCCTTAAGCCAAAATAGGACAAAGTGCTCAATCATCATGGATGACTCTAACCACAAGAAAACACCTAAAGGATAAGCATAAAGCCTGGAACAAATACCAAAAGAACAGTACTGCGGACAACTGGAGGATATACAAAAAGGCTCGAAATGCAGCCACAGAGGAGGTGAAAAAGTCAAAACAAGATTTTGAAAGACAGATTGCAAGAGAAATCAAGGAGAATCCTAAAAGTTTTTGAGTTATGTGAAGAAAGGAACAGCAAGTCGCTCACGAATTCCTCCTCTACTAAAACAAGATGGATCACTTGCTTATAATCCAGAGGATCAAGCAGAAACACTAAATGACTTCTTCATTAGTGTATTCACAACAGAGGATACAAACCAGATCCCGAAGCCAGTGCCATTAGAGGTGGCAGAGAGCCCGGAAGAGCTAGAATTATCTGAGGACACCATCCTAAAACACCTCAAGACACTGAAGCCTGACAAATCCCCTGGTCCAGATGAGATACACTCAAAGGTACTG